GCCCCAAATGTTTCAATGTTTTCAAACTGATTCAAAATATTTTTCAAATTTACAAAAATACCCTTGTCGGGTCGTGTCCAACCTGTGTCAGGGGCGAGTCGGAGTGTCCATGCAACCTAGTCTAAAATGCGTCAAATGTTGGAGGATTAAAAACAAACTCTGACACTTTGGAGTTTCAAAGTGTCTGTGCAACCTGGTTTATGAATATTACCCAAACCCATACACCCTTCCAAAACCCTAGCAATCGATGTAAATTTGAAACCAAAAAAAATTGGGAGAAATTAATAGATAATCAAATTTACTTGTGGAGATGAAGAGGGCAATTTTCGCTTACCTTCAGTCAAGAGGAATTTGTAAAACGTGGTGGTGGCGGTTGTCTGGGTTTTGGATGAGCAACAACGATTTGGGTTTTGGGTTTTGGGTTTAGAACGATGTGGAAGAATAGGGTTGCCAAATGAAACGTACAGAAATTAATTTGGATGAGCAGGTTGTCATGTGGATTCGAACTGCAGCAACAAGGAAAAGGTCAGGGAACGTGTCGATTCGGACTGAAGCAAGAAAGCAGTGGTGGGGGAGGAAAGCCACGAGCGAACCACGCCTAAGAATGGGCATTCTTGTCTTTTCACTGTACCCCCATAAAATAAAGGGAGTTTTAACGAAAAGCCCACGGTACTGTTCACTTTAACGAAAAACCACATTTTTACACTAAAAAGTCAAACCTGGTACTATTTACTTTACCCTTTATTTTGTCATTATCATTAAAACTCAAAGTTTTCAAACATTTTTCATTAGTTTTCCTTAAAATAAATGAAAGAAAAGAACGTTTGAGGATGACAAATCCGTCATTTCATTGTGCTTTAGAACAGCAGCTCGGTTTTAGTATTTATAGAATTTAGTTAATAGCATATTTATGTGATGTATTCTCGTTAGTACGTCGACCTTATAAGGATCCTCTGTACTATTATGTAAATAATCACTGAATATTACAATTAACACCAAATTTTATAGATTCCAAGTTAATATTAGAACACAAAGTTATATACATGTTATCGACAACTCTGTCATCGTCGTCTTCTATTTGTCATGCCACAATTAGTAATTAAATGATTTTCGCTTTTAATGAATTTTTGCATGGATGATTTTTGAATGGTAATTGAAAAATTATGAGAAATATTGTTCAAGAAAACATACATAAAGCTCATAAAACATAGGAATTTTGTAGTGTGTAATACAAGTCATAAAACAGATTACAACAATGTAAAATCCACAAACACTAGTTCAAGAACGACTCTTTTTCTGCATGGTCCTCCCCTTTGCTTCTATCACCTCCACAAATAAATCCAAGCTAGTAAGAATTTTGGAGGTGCAGAGTTTCTAATCCTTTCTTTACGCTTGGAATTTCGGGAAGGATTTTTCAACTCAATCAAGAGCTGTGTGGCGCCAATGTTGAGCGACCCCGTCTAGTCTTCCCGTGGCCCCATCCATTTGCACAGACTGAACAAAGTCCAGCCCCAACATGCGTGTGAAGGATTGAAATGTCTTGGTCAAGTGTGAAGTTGATGCATATAATATCAGATTCAACGTTACGCGTGTGGGTTGAGGCATGTAAATGTGTCACATGCAAACACGACAAACACGGCACATAATCGAAAAAGAATGTGTAAATTACAAAAAAAACTACCTTAATTATGAGTCGAAAAACAATCTCATACCTTATGTTTTAAAAATTGCAATATCATACTTCAACTTATGAATTCGTTGCAATGTCAGAATTTTTTGTCAATTTGACTGTTAAATGATGACGTGGTAGGAGCGGGATCCACATTGAATACAAAAATAATTAATGATTAATTTTCAGGATGAAGTGCCGATTTAGTCCCTGAACTACCACCTCAGTGAAAATTAGGTCACTGAATTATTTTTTGGGTAAAATAAGTCCCTAAATTCATTAGAAATTGCTAATTTCATCTCTATTATTATATTCAAAGCTATTTTATCCAATTTTTCATCAACTTAAGTCATTTGACACACTTTAAAGTGCAATACCATCATTTTCTTATTTATAAGCCCTTAACATTTCATATAGGTTACGAATTTAATGTCTAATTTATCCTTAAAAGTTAATTTACACTATTTCTTTATGAAAAACTATCAATTTATCCTCTAAAGTTAACTTCATACGCTATTTCTTTATAAAAACTACCAATCTACCCTCCAATGTGTATCACATGCAAGTAACGTGACTTAAATTGACAAAAAATTGAATATAGTAGCTTCGAATATAACATTAGGAATGTAATTGGCAGATTTTTATAATTTAGGCACTAATTTTTCTGAAAAAAATAATTTAGGAACCTAATTTTCACTAATGTGATAATTTAGGAACTAAGTTGGCTGTTTACCCTAATTTTTATTTAACAATTAAATTAATTAAAACAAAACCCTATCCCTCCTGTCTACCCATCGCCGGTCCTATTTCACCCTATTCAAATCTCTCTCACTATTTATTTACATCTGGTAAAATAATATTTCCTCCTATGCATCAATGATTTCTGTAAAAAGGTAAATAATCAAACAATAATCCTCTCTTAATTGTGCTAGAACATAAAAAATTGCTGATGTGTTTGTTGATGGTGATGATGTTGAAGAAGATGCAGATCTTGAAGGTGACTTTGATGGTGTTTGTAGAGGTCGTAAGGGGCCCAAAGAAGATCGACAGGGCAAGGCATTCCCTAATCTTCTGCTGGTTCCATCAGTGGTGAATTGCTTCCACGTCGCCGCCGAACACCAGAACGGCGGAAGAGAACCCAGCTCGTATATCCGCTTCTCCTTGGGAATCTCCATCGAATTCTCGATCTTTCTCGTAAGCGGTCCATCTACCAAGTCGGTCACCATCACGCCGGTGTTGAAATAGCACGGGCGCTTTCGATCGAACACCTAGAGTGCGTGGACTGTGAAAGGATGTCTTGGTCAAGTGTGGAGTTGACGAATAAATATCAGTCGTCAGCGTCTAGCGTGTGGGTTGAGGTTTGAAAATGTGTCACATGTAAACACGAGAAACACAATACATAACACATAAAATCTCAATACTTACATTTACAATATTAGAATGCACTGACCTAAACAAGAGACTATTAAATCACTGAAAAAAGTCCTCTCTAACTGGTATAAAATCAGATTTTTTCCACCAAAAACAAACTATGTAACCATACTTTATCCTTTTTTTTTTTATAATTTTTTTATAGTATAAACCTGTTGATGTATGAATTAATTGCATGTATTTTAATATTTCATATTTTTTTCTTGTCTAGGTTGCTTTCTTGACAATCAAGAGTACTGGACAGAAACTTTAGGTGCTTCAGTGAACTTTGATTTTTTCCCTTGTCTAGGTTGCTTTTTCGATTTTAATTTTAATTTTTAATTTTTTATTTTATGTAGAGACAAAAGTTCCATGATTGTTTGTATGTGGACCGTATCGATTAAATCTTTTGTTTGTTAAAATCTTCTAACATTTCTAATGTGAATAATATTAATTGTCTATGGCATAATTTTTCTTAAAATTTATAATCCCGCAACAAAGCTTTGGGTATCAATTTTTAGTTGACAACTAGACTCCAATTGGAGATCACGGAAGGCAAGATTGGATCCGTAAATACATTATCGCAGAAATCCAACTGGAGAATGCTGCTCAGATTGGACAAGGGCAGTGGCAGCTCCCCACTAAGAAAATTGGAAGCCAAGGAACAAGTACGTGAGGTCGGTAACTAAATCTCATGTAGAACAAGGACAGTGGCAGCTCCCCACTGAGAATGCTGCTTAGTTTTAGGTTTCATATTGAAGAAATGCTCATGTAGAACTCATGGTTTGTTATATTCAGTTAACCGGGTGCGTTTGGTACGTGGGACGGGACGGGACGGAACGGGACGAGGCGTTCCGTCCCGCGTTTGGTGCGCCAAAAAATGGGTGGAACGGGTTGTTCCACGGGACAGATTTTGGGTGTTTTTGGGTCCCACCTCCCCCTGGAACGGGTTTGTTCCACGTCTGTGGAACACACTGTTTTACCATTTTAAGACAAATATACCCCATGTCTTTTTCAAAAATTACACATTCGTTCCGTCCCGTCCCGTTCCGTCTGCGTACCAAACGCACCCGTTAACAGATTCTTTTAGTTCCGAAATAAATCTAAACTAGGTGAAATTTCGGAGGTGCAGAGTTCCTAAACCTTTCTTTACGCTTGGAGATGTGTGGTGCTAACGTTGATTGACGCGGTCTAGTCTTCCCGCGGCCCCATCTATTTGCGCAGACTGAACAAAGTTCAAAGATGTCTTAGTTTTTGAAAATTTCTTAGGTGGACGGCTAAAGGATATGGCACATCAAGTCATTTTAGCAGAGTTTAATTCTAGCTGCGTGTGGGTTACGGCATTGTCACAAGCAAACACGACAAACATCATGACTTGATGTGACCAATGCCTTGATCACGTATTTACCAAAACATTTGCAAAATCAAGTAACAATTAATCAGATTAATTAACTAGAAATTCAAATGGAAAAATTTGTAAACACTTTCACTCGACAAAATTAGCCAATTGGCTAACGAATGGACAAATTTGCCAAATACCCATGGAAATTCAAAATTCAGGAACCACAAACGTATGCATATAATAAAAAGTAAATGAAAAATAGAAAAACCTTGCAACCAAAAAAACAAAGGAAATTCAAAAAAACTTGTACTTTCTGGTAGCTTCTCGGAACGGCTGACCCAATGAAGCTTTCGGCGGGCCCGGCAGCGGCAATCCATTGAGCTTATTGGAAGTCAGAGGCAACAGAAGATTAAAAGCATTACGCGTACTTTAATGGTCATGTGCGAAATTCCAAGCGTAAAGAAAGGATTATAAAGTCTGCATGCACCTCAAAGTTGTTATTAGCTCCGATTTATTTGTGCCTTGGACAAAGGGAAATACTCCACCAAAAAATAACAGATCATCATGCAACTCAAAACCATGACATTTCATTATATGCTCCTGCTGCTGTTCGCATTGCCACTGATCAAAACGACATCAATATCTCCAGGAAAACAAGCAAAATCACTCATCAAATGGAAGGACGACTTTTCTTCATCATCATGGCCACCTTCGCTACTCAATTCATGGTCCCTCACCAACCTCAGCAGCCTCTGCAACTGGACTGCCATTGCCTGCACCAAAACCAATACAGTCTCCAAAATAGACCTCTCCAATATGCAAATTACTGGAACACTCGCTCTTTTCGATTTTTCTCTATTTCCGAATCTTACCCACTTCAACCTGAGTGGCAACTATTTCCGAGGGCCTATACCATCTGCCATTGGAAATCTCTCCAGCCTCATAACTTTGGACTTCAACAACAACTCTTTGTACAGCAGTTATAACGGATTCTCTGGCCCAATTCCGGACAATATCGGTTTGATTTCTGGTCTTCAACATATTGACCTGAGTTGGAATCTTCTGGAAGGGAAAATTCCACCCTCTATAGGCAAACTCAGGGAGCTCCAGTTCCTTGATCTTTCATACAACTCCATAAACTCTTCAATTCCTTCTGAGCTTGGTCTTTGTACAAACCTCACCCACTTGTCCCTGTCTTCCAATAACCTCAACGGGGAACTGCCTCTGTCCTTGTCCAATCTGAAAAGCCTCGTTCAATTGGATTTACATAATAATCGATTTATTGGTCAAATCCTTCTTTCTCTTGCCTCCAATTGGACGGAATTGGTCTCTTTGAACCTTCACCACAATAGCTTCAGTGGAACCATTTCAGTAGAAACTGGGCAGTTGAGACAATTGCAGTATCTAAGCCTTTACTCCAACAAATTCAGCGGAGAGATTCCTCATTGTCTAGGCAATTTATCTCAGCTTCAGGGACTCTATTTGGATCAGAACCACTTGAGAGGAGAGATTCCTCATAGTCTAGGCAAATTGACTCAGCTTCAGGGACTCTTTTTGTCCTATAACCAATTGACAGGAGAGATTCCTCAAAGTCTCGGCAAATTGACTCAGCTTAGGGGACTCTATTTGTCCGATAACCACATGACAGGAGAGATTCCTCAGAGTCTAGGCAAATTGACTCAGCTTTATTATCTCCATTTGTCCGATAACCACTTGACAGGAGAGATTCCTCAGAGTCTAGGCAAATTGACTCAGCTTTGGGGACTCTATTTGGACGATAACCACTTGACAGGAGAGATTCCACAGAGTCTAGGCAAATTGACTCAGCTTCAGCAACTCTATTTGTCTGATAACCACTTGACAGGAGAGATTCCTCAGAGTCTAGGCAAATTGACTCAGCTTCAGCAATCTATTTGTCCGATACCACTTGACAGACAGATTCCTCAGAGTCTAGGCAAATTGACTCAGCTTCAGCAACTCTATTTGTCCGATAACCACTTGACAGGAGAGATTCCTCAGAGTCTAGGCAAATTGACTCAGCTTCAGCAACTCTATTTGTCCAATAACCACTTGACAGGAGAGATTCCTCAGAGTCTAGGCAATTTATCTCGCCTTCAGAGACTGGATTTGTCCGCTAACAACTTCACAGGAGTGATCCCACGAATTTCAGGTATGTTGGACCTCAAGCTTCTTTCATTGTCTAATAACAATTTGACAGGGGTAATACCAATTTTTCTGTTTCTTGCCGTAGGTTTAACAGGTTTGTACTTCTTGAATCTCAGCAGCAATTCACTATCGGGTGCAATACCATCAGAATTGCGCATGCTCGCAGAATTAGACGTTTTCAATGCCTCACACAATCATCTCTCAGGCGAAATTCAATCAGCATTAGCTGACCTGTTGACTCTAAATATAAGTATGTATGACTTTTCGTATAACAACTTAACAGGGCCATTCCCAACTTGTGGCATTTTCAATAAGGTGCCAACAAGTGCGTTTGTTGGTAACCATGGCTTGTGGAGTGCAGAGGGACCAACTGAATGTAAGTCCTCCAGTACAAATTCCAAAAGTGCTCAGAAGAATATGGTATCTGTTTTCCTTTATTCCTTTATGGGTTTCACAGTAGGTGCAATTTCCATTGCTGCTCTGTTTCTTATGTTTCGTAAGAGGTCCACGATCCGGCCTCAGGTAATCAAAACTTCTCAAAACTTCGAGAGTTTTGAAGCAATGATATTGCAAGAGGAAGTAAAATTTACGTTTGCAGAAGTTGTGAAGGCTGTAGATGACTTTCATGAGAAATATTGCATTGGCGAAGGAGGTTTTGGAAAGGTTTACAAGGCAGAGCTCCAATCAGGCCAAGTTATTGCAGTTAAGAGGCTTAACACGGACGACTCTAATGACGTTCCAGCGATCAATCTTCAAAGTTTTCAGAATGAAATCCGAACTTTGACAACTATCCGACATCGAAACGTCATAAGGCTATATGGCTTCTCTACAAGGAAGGGTTGCATATTCTTGCTTTATGAATACTTAGAGAGAGGCAGCCTCGGAAAAGCATTGTATGGGGTAGAAGGGGTTACTGAACTTGGCTGGCCATCAAGGGTAAAAATTGTGCAAGGACTTGCTCGTGCGCTTTCTTACCTGCACCATGACTGCTCACCACCAATTGTGCATCGTGATGTAACTGTCAATAATGTATTGCTCGAGCAAGATTTCGAGCCCCGACTCTCAGATTTTGGAACAGCAAGACTGTTGAGTATTGATTCATCCAACTGGACCAACATTGTTGGTTCACTAGGATACATGGCCCCAGGTAATGTAAAATTTTTAATGTTGTGCAACTTTGTACTATCTTTTGTAGAGTTGACATATTTTGTTCTCTTTAAACGCAGAGCTTGCATATATTATGCAGGTGACGGACAAGTGTGATGTTTATAGCTTCGGAGTGGTGGCACTAGAAGTCATGATGGAAGGCACCCTGGGGATATCCTAGAATCCCAACTATCAGAATCATCAACGTCAATGAAAGGAAATGCAGACTTGCTTCTGAAAGATGTGTTAGATCAACGACTAGAGCCTCCAGCCAATGAATTGGCAAAGGCAGTGGTGCTTGTAATGAATATAGCATTGGCTTGTATACGGACGCGTCCTGGGTTGCGTCCGACAATGCATTTTGTGTCGCAGAATTTATCAGCTCAGTCTTTCTTGTCTTCCTGAGCCATTTGGTATGCTTACCATCAACAAGCTATCGGCCCTTCAAAACTAGAAGAAAATAGAGAACATGCAGCTCCAACTTCACATTAGAATTCTTGCTACAAGCAATCTATCAAATAAGGTGAAGTTGTGGAATTTTATTTTTTTTAATTTTTTTTCTTGATGTTTACAACAAACTTCATAAACATGTAATTGATATCTGCACCATCCTGATTACTACAGAGTGTTGCAAATTGTGTTTAGTAATGTGGAATTCGTACTTGCATAAATAACCAATTACACACAAGTGTTCTGTCGAGATACTTTCTTTTTTGGTTTGATTTTCCTATTTGTCGTAATTGATATTGTGATTGTAATTATCTCTCTATCAACGATTTACATAGCTGTAGTTAGGGACCACTAGAAAATGTGCCCGTACTTTGCTGCGGAGATTGAATGTATTTGTCGGGACTCGGAACATGCATGAATAATTTCTACACAAAGTAACTGACATGATGGTACAATACGTAAGAACCAATGAAGTAATACTTTGCTTGCTATGCATGGATATGCATGCTATAAGAAACATTCATTTGCAGATCGTATTGTGTCCTCAATATTGTACTCATAGTTTCAAGTAATCAAGCATATAGTTTGTCTACAAATCAAAACGAAGTGCTGCCATAATGTGTGACTGAAAAAATGCCTCTTAATGTCGTCTTGCAAGAAATGAATGCAGTTCGAAAACAACCCAAAAAACACCCTAGAAATCTTTACCGCCCCAATCTTACTAAATAGAAGCATAAATGGACAGGATCCCTCCCTAATTTTGTAACAGAAATCCTAACAAAGAGTAATGAGGCTTCAAGGGTCTTAGACTTATCCTTGGCATAAATATGGACACTGCAAGTTTAGTTCGAATGAAACAAATACGCATGTTAAGTAAATGACTTCAGTTCGAATGAAACAAATACGCATGTTAAGTAAATGACTTCAACGCTACATGCACTGCTTTACAACCATCTCAAGTTGATGACACAATGCTTAAAATATTTGAGACTCAAAGATTTTCACACAAACAGAACACCTCACCTAAACAATAACCGAAGTTGTGGTATCTAAATTAAGCAGGCATACACTTTGCAAGGCTTTCTTCAATATCATCTCATATTTTCTTTTCATCTTTCCTATATGATACAAAAAACCGTTCGCATCCAGACATAAATAAGAGAATCTGCCACATTGTACTATTACAGTTGCTAGTCTTGAACAAAAATGCAGGTGCAGCTGCTCTTAATCGAGAACTTCATCATATAAACAATAATAAAATTTAATGTAATCTGTCAAAAACCAAAAAAAAAAAAAAAAGCGATCATTTGAAGGCACCGTAATGCCTTCGCCATTGTACACTTGCAGCATGTAATTGATGCATCTGTTGTTCAATGAAATCATTTGCTTTGCTAAAATAGTTAAAATACAATGATATCCAATTTATGAGAAATCATGCAGAAGCAAATGTAAATGATAATGGAATCATGAATGCGAATGAGAAACACAAACTTGGCAAAAAGAAAACCAATTATAGTGTGCAAAGATACTCGCATTGTATTTTTTTATTGCATCATTCATTTCACAACACATTTAAAAAAATTTGTTTGAAAAAGCTTTGCTATGATGATTAGGTTTTGCAAGAAATAATACGAAAAAAAATAAAGAAACAATTACTGAAAAGACAGAATAATGGCCTAGTAATGGCAAAATACACTCCTCAACAATGTACACGAACTTGTGAGTTGAAATTTTGAAACATTCGACAACAAAAAGAAAGAAGCAAAATTAGAAGAAAAGAAAGAGATGCTCACTCAAAAAGAAAGAAGAAACAATACTAGGCTTCTTCTTTTCGGCATCCAGAATTCCATCGCTGACTCCGTCAACCTTAAACGTATTTAAAATACAAAATGGAAAAAAAACGCAGTATAAATCATCCCATAGAATTAAATCATCCAAGTAAAATTAGACCATGGACACAAAAAGAAATGAAGGCAGTTTAATCTGACTTAAATCAGTGACTTACTGAATAATCTTGGAATCTGTCCCATGCAAGCGTTCGACTTCAACCCCCATCCTCGTTGCCCCTGTAATATGTAGACATAAAGAAAAAGAAATCGACTTTAAGTTATCAATCAAATCATTTGCTTGGCTAAAAAGGTTAAAATACAATAAATATATTCACATCCAATTTATGAGATATCATGTAAAAGCAAATGTAAATGATTACAGAATCATGAATGCGAATAAGAAACACAAACTTGCCAAAAAGAAGACCTATTATAGTGTGTCAAGATACTCGCAGCATATAGTGTCAAGATAACTGCAATTTCTAGCATTGAACTGATGAAAGAGAAAACTAAAGGCATAATCCTTCAACCGTACAACACAACAGCAATCTCACTATGCTAAAACAACCATCAATTTCTTGAATAATGTCCATAGTGCATACCGAGAGAATTGAACTGTAGAGCCTGGGACATTTGATTAATTTCATCTGTGAAAACAAATCTTTTATTCTCTCTTAAACTAACCTTAATAAATATAGGGGCTTTTAGATTTTAGGACCTAAATAAGATTACTTTTAGATTATAACCTGCATGGTTTTCTCTATCCAATTTAAGTCCCTATTTTAAAATCTTAACGCCATGTCATATTTAATTGCCTTTATCACATATACTATTTACAAACTTGCCATCCACATATTCAATTAATAATTAAGGCTAAAAATTGGAAATTGACTTTCACACTCAAATCTCCCATTTATACACTTAAATCAAAATTCTAAAATTTTAAAATTTTTGGAAAGTACTAATAGGTGCAAGAAAATAAATGAAATTTTTTATATTGATTAATTGTGAACATAATAGTGAAAGATATGACAAAAATACATTAAAAAAGAAAAGCAAAACATCATCACTAACACAATTCCCATCTCCATAAGAAAAAAGAAGAACACCCATAAAAATTTTTAAGTACATTAACAAAGTGCTATACATGGGTACGGAAGTATAAGTGCAAAGGCATAGGTACGGAAGTATAAGTGCATAGGCGTAGGTACGGAAGTATAAGCGTATAAGTGCATAGGCATAGGTACGGAAGTATAAGTGCATAGGCATAGGTACAGAATATAAGGGCATAAACATAGGTACGGAAGTATAAATGCATAGACATAGGTACGGAAGTATAAGGGCATAAACATAGGTACGTAATTTCGGTATGCAAACTTTACTCCATGTATCTTCATATCAGTACACAAATCATAGATTTAAAAATACGTACTTGTCAATCTCCATAGACAAAAAATTATCATACACGAATAAACACAATTCATAAGTAAAAAATAGATTTGCTAGCCTTAGCTTTTCCATAATGCAAGAAACATACGAATCATGAGAATATACAATTGAGAGAGATAAGAGATAATATAAAGGAGAAGTGTGTATGTGAGTTGGACATGTTCCTCTTCATAAATGAGACCTGATTGTGCAACCCGTATAGACATTTAGTAAAAATATTTGTTTTTATTGATTTCAAAATAAACATGAAAGCTCAAAGGCCTAATAGTCAATATTTATTAGCTAAATCATAGGAAAAGGGCGATTTAGGAACAAACAAAAATAATTCTTTTAATTAATTGACTATTTAACTCCTATATGGAAAGTTGCTGAGTTGAATATAAAGTCAAAGGATCAAAATTAAATATTAGATCTTACACTCGGTTTTTTTTAAAATTGAATTTTGTGAAAGGATGTTAATCTAGTTTTCTAATAAATATACCATTGATAAGTCAATAGTCAAAATCCTCGTATAATAATTTTTCATTGATAATAAGCCAAAAGATAGATGCTCAAACATATAATGGACATAAAAGTACAACAACAACAACAAAGCATTTCCCACTAAGTGGGGTCAACTGTATGAAGCCTAGAACGCCATTGTGCTCGATTCTATGCCACGTCTTCCGTTAGATCATAATGGGCAGAAAAGTAAGAGTAAAAAATCCAAACCTCAAGAATATAATTGTATTACACCAAAGATGCATGCTTAATTAAAAGTCCTCCCAAAGGAAAGTCAAAAACTAAACAAAAATGAAATTTAACAAAAGATTTAGTGCTAAAAGAAGTAACGCATACAATTAACCTATTTTATAAGGAGTCAAATTCATAAAGATTTGGAGTGTAGATGTTTCTTCCTAACAACACACCCAAAATATAATTCTTTAATAGATTTAATTCAATCCATACATAATCGTGCTAGGGTTATTGTGTTGTCCTCTTTGTATTTTTCTTCTCCGAATAAATATGGAACAAAACCTATGAACTGTCTATCCAACTCAATACACAAAAACCAAATTAAAAATCAAGAAGTACAAACCAAGCATTATCAAAATAGGTAAAACTTAGACATTGCTCATATGCAGAGCAAAGTACAATTTGCCCTACCAACTTGTCGAACAATCTGCTGCAGAATGAATTGGGCCAACGACAGAGAAAACCCAGTTGAGAGAGAAAGACTGCGTAAATACCGCTATGAAAACCATAACATTTTTAGATAGTCCATTAGCTAGAACACATCATAACACACATGGCAGACAAAACCAGAAAAAGACATTACTTAGTTATACTAGAATTACTAAGACTTGACAGTAAAAGATTTTATTTACCTGGACAGTTTGTATCCGGAAACTATAACTTTACATATGTTTTAGAAGGTCAATTTTTGTTCTTATCCATGATGCAGTACAATGTTTGAAATCTCGATGTGAAATTTTATCTGGGCATGTAATCACAAATTTTATAGCCAAACGGCATATATAAAAACAAAAAAGTCCAGAAATTTTGAATGATTCGTGTATGGCTCACCACATCTAATTCAATTATAATAGCCCTGCATCTCAAATGATTCGTGTATGGCTCGCCACATCTAATTTGATTATAATAGCCCTGCATCTCAAATGATTCGTGTATAGCTCACCACATCTACGACCCAAAGTGTTCATACATTTATATACTTGTACTGTAATTCCAAGAAAAAAAAAAGTAATAAAATAGCAGCAGATAGAGAATATAATGTCCAAATCTCCCAACAGTCTGCATACCTCGTAGCGCCTTCAGCAACAAAGTGTTTAGATTTCTGCGTAAAACCCAATATCAATCAATTTTTCCTCTGTATTTAAAGTAATTTCATCCCAAAAAGCAACATAGCAAACCTGCATCCATACCATACTCATAAGAATATATAACTTCTGTAGCTAATTAGTAATACAGCTACCACCTAAGTTCCTTTGTGGAAAAAAAAAATTAACAAAAACTAAAATTTTAAGGAAAACAATAAAACTTTTTTCTCCTGTAAGGGACCATACCAGCACCCGATTCAATGGAGGGTTTTTACAAACCCAAAACTATAAAAAATAAAAAATAAATAAAAAATGAGAAATAAATTAAAAGTTGAGATTGATGAACACCGTACCTAGGAAACGGTAAACATGCAGAGCTCTTCAAGACCGATCCCAATTCACTTGCCATAGACTAACGACATAGAAGAACATAACCTTCCTCCTAATTTCATAAGTTTCTCAGTAAACAAAAAAGGCAAAACGATTGAAAGAAACGTCATATGTCAGGTATCTTTCCCTTTGAGAGACAAATAATTGACATTAGCAAAAGAAAAATGGACTTGCAAAAATATAAACCTTCTTGAGCCGAGCTTACATTCTGGATTTTCTCTTGATGACTTGCACGTTCAAAAATCAGGGGTCCAGAAAACCTTCAAAATGATAAATAAAAAAATTATGTCCTCCATATCATATAACGTAGTAACAAAAGAAGCAATGCAAAACAGTCTCTAAGAACCAAGTTAGCATCCATAGGCACACCCCAACAGTCTGAAGAATTTTGTTCCAAGTATGGTGCACCCTTCATTTTCAAAATAAAACATCTTCTTGTACCAAGTAAATGACAACATAAAGTATCATTTTCAATCTACAGAATTTTGTAATCGAACCCATATATATATATATATATATATATATATATATATATATATATATATACACGTAGAAAAATCAACTATTTCCCTAGTACTAACAAATTAGTAGTGTAAAAACCCCCAGAAAAACCCACTGCATCAACTATGAAGCTACCAGAAAAGCCCAAAGTCTTGACAACGTCCAAAGCTTTGGATACACTAATTCTAGGTTCAGAAAGAACCAAAACATCAAAGGCATGAAAATTGAGCATGTTTCTCATCTCTTCTCGAGAAACAAGTGGGCTATGCAAAATTGTGCTCAATTTCATATGTGGCAATTCACCCCAACCATCAATAGGTTTAGCCAATGCATTTATAATACAACCTAAAAAAGCCTCACTTACAGGTATCTGAGCAATTCTTCCTGTTGCTTATATATATAAGTACACTTTTGGTTTTGGAGGAGGAAGCAACCATACCCTGAATATATATACGCACACTTTTGGATTTGAAGAATTTCTTCTTGGATAATAAAAGTGCAGGGTAAAACATATTTGAACCATTTCACTGACGAAGTTGAAACCTCCAAGGTCCATAATGGATCCAGCTAGCAAATATTCACTAATAACATGTCAAGTTTTGGTATGAAGGAAGCAGAATATGAACATTCAGTAAGATCATAGCATTAAGTTTTCTCTATAAGTTCAATAAGTTTGGAAATATATGTACACGCGTATGTACTTATGAATGTATGTATCAGGTCGGTTGTCCAGCGCAAGCAAAGGCAATGCCACCACAGGTTGCAGATACAATAACGACCACTAAATCTGATATTAATCTAGAATGAAACCAGTAGATGAGTTCAAAATCAGCATTTTTTGTTAGGAGAAGACAAATGAACTTAACAAAACTGTAATGAGCCAGTAAGTTTACATCAAGTCTAGTTGCAGCACTGGATATTTTGATTTAAAATTTGATATTATGAAGGCATTGTCAGAGAATATATGAAAAACTGTACTGAATTTAAGTTAGAAGCATGTACTTTTCATCTTTCGTCTAATTTTTCTTCGACTTTACTCTTGCAACTGTTTCTAGTACTGCCTGATCCACACAAAGATAGGTAAACAATGAAATTAGAAAGAATTACAACATATCGCATTTGAGACCAAATCAAGTATGCATCAAAACATTAGATTGCACTATATTTGCGCTAGCAACCCATGAATTATGATAAGAAATGGTTCAAGGTAAAGGTTTCAAATCCTGCTGGCCAGCGATGCTGTTATTGAAACTTCCAGGATAGGTAGTTGCAAGTATAAGCAAGCAAGGGAAACAATAAATTTAATTTAAGACTAAAAATATGAATTAGCTAACAATAACAACTACATTTAACAATTTAAGCATAATCTGATGGATTTTAAAGAATGAAATTTCACCACAACCAACTTTTCTTAACAAATTTCTCATCTTTTCATCTCATCCAAACACAAAATCCGAAGATCCTTCAAATTTTATTCTCTTTTTGTTTCGGGTTTCGACCTAAAACCCTAATTTGAACCAAAATGCATAGAAAGAGGAAGCACATCGGATCTAATACGAACCTTCATTCTGATCATTCTCTTTGGACTTGTTCAATTATATTAAACTACATATAGGGCGAGGGAAAATATAGCACTATTAGCTTATTGTAAGCCCATTAAGCCTATAAGTTCACTGGTTTCCACTATAACGATCATATACTGCGGTTAGCAATTCTGAACTTTATGAAATATTATGCATAAAATCTTTAATTTAATGGAAATTGAAACTGAAAAAACATTACTCATATCCGTGCTAGATATATTTCCTAACGAACAATTGGTTTTATGTTTATGTTTTTCCTAATATCTGCTGAAATTTGAAAAGACAAAACTACAACTTGTGTAAAGTTCAAAATCTGCATTTAGAAGGTAAATCAGAATCCAATGTCAATGAAAGCGGAATGGTAAATAAGAGCTTACTTGTTTCGTATGAATATCCAACACACGTTGATATGTCATTGTGGTTTCCAATTGAATCATGAATTCCAGAATGTAAATTGTACCTTGAGTATAAGAAAACCCAGAAAAGGAAAATTAAATCCCACACAAATGGTGCAAGAAAATATGAGAAACCTATATTAGTCCCAACGGTGAGCGTTTTCATCAAAGAAGTAGACAATCCACACGCCAAATCACCAATCGAATATGAAGATGATCACTAAGAAGAAATCCCTAAAACCCAATATTTTATTAGAGTTGAAAATCGAAATTAAGCCAAAACGGAACCTTCACTACCCAAATTAAGCTAATAATCCACTAACCCAACAAAAAGGCAAAGAAAAATCACCTCTAAATGACTGCCATTGATTCAATGCACAGAGAGCTCGAGCTGCTTCATATTGTTCTGAAATTAAAGAGAGGGTGTGAGAGATCATGAGAGGAACTGAGGGCTGAATGCCGGAGTGAGACTCAGCACGTCTCTTCTTTGCATATAAAAGATGCCGCACAATTATGCAACTGACTCCGTAGACATATAAACATCACAATTATAAATTCTGAAACTGATATAAATTGAGTAGACTATACACAAAGCATAAACAAATTCAGCACATGAACACCAAAGCTTACCAAACTCATGTGCTTGCTTGAAGCTGCTTTTGGTCATTTTTCTACCCAAAAAATTAAATTAAATGAAAATTTGAGTGGAAGCCACGACCAAAGTGGTAAAATTCAAGAAAACATCCAAAGCCCCAGGAAAAAAAAAACAAATTCTTTCGGAGAAATCAAAGAAATTCAATCAGGTAATCAATCAATTAAGTACCTAATTCTCTTGGATGCCTTGAATAAATATAACACTCCAAGATAAATAATTAACTGTCCAATATTATATTATTCCTGTTTCTTTCTTCTTATTTCTGGAAAGAAACAAACCCAAAAACAAATAATTGAAGAAAACATACAGAAAATATTGGGGAGGAGTGACATACAATCTGCTGAGTTCTTCTTCGCTTTGCAGATAAGAGATGGTGCCTTCTCATCGAGTTCATGCATGTATTGCCCGGAGTGAGATGGTGAGCGGGCGTGAGAGAAAATGGCAGTGAGAGAGTCGGGAGAGAAAAAGTGGGAAAGAAATTTCCAATCTGTATGGCACCGATGGGTTGGTGGCAATTGTGTAAATAAAGTGAAATCCACTCCAAAACACTGTTTATTTTCTAGGATTTATATTGTTGCATTCTCATTGCGTCCAGTTTATAAGGATCCTACACACCATTCTGTAAATAATCAACGAATGTTACAATTTTCACCAAATTTCATATGTTCAAATTTAATATTTAAACATAAATTTGTATATACAGTATTGATAGATCTGTCTTGTCTATTTAATTGTCATGGACAATTAGATAACTAAACGGTTTTGCTTTCAGTGAATTTTTTCATGGATGATCTTTCAATGGTAACCGAAAAATTAATCGAGATTATGAGAAATATTGTTAAAAAAAACATACATAAAGCTCATAAACATAGAAATTTAGTAGGTTGCAGTACAAGTCATAAAACGGATTACAACAAAGGAAAAACCACAAACACTAGTTCAAGAACGAGATTATCTTTTTCTGCATGGCCACAGTGTTAGGATTTTGGCTCGTGAATATGTCCTAATTGGTTTAGGATTGTTTTAGGAAAATTAGAGGTAACCAATTCTTGTCCTAGATGGATTAGGAAAGAATTTCAGTTTTCCTTATTCAATTTCGGTTTGGATTTCTAGAAGTCTATTTGGATATGGATAAGTGTAATTTCCTAGTCCACTTAGAAATAGGAATTCATCAGCCTTGGGACATGTAAGCCTACCCTATGCATATAAATAGGGTGTGGCAATGCTTAATTTTTTAGAGAGAAAACTATGACAGCCGAGACAAGTGAAAGAGATTAGTTCTAGGGCTTGCAAAAGTTCTGTAATCTCTATTATTAGTCAAAGGAGCGGTGATTTCTCTACCTAGAGAAATCACAACTGGACGTAGGCAAAAGTTCTGCCGAACCAGTATAATTCTTATGTGTTTATAAGTTTTTCTATATTTGCTAGTTTAGTCTATTGTCGTTGGTTACATTAAAGAACAAGATCTAGTGGCCGTTTTTCAACACACGGCATTCTCACAGATAGGATCGGACAAATGGTAAACATGATCCTCCCGCTTTGCTTCTATCACCTCCACAACTCCATTCCATCCAATCTCTCTCAGCGCCTCCTCATAGTACCATCCCCTGTCTTTCCACAAACGGATTACAATTACACCTTTCGCTATAATTTTTCAAATGCGTTACAACAGTTTTACATCGCTATTGATATTCTACATCTCAACCTTGCAAAAATTACAAGGTACGCTGCCACTCCTCATGATCTAGATAATCTTAACAAACATTATGTAATCCGTGTTTAGCAAAAAAATTTGAACCTATATAAAAACACAAAAACAATTATATAAAAAAAATGAACATAGACTAACATGTTCATGCACAGTTTATGTTACTAATTTGTTTCAACATTTCTACATTCGTTCATTTGATTGAAATATTGTTGTATAACAGGTCTAAACTTTGTTCCAGTACCTTATCACAAAATAATTCCACCTTGGACAAAGTACAAGGTATGATGCAACCTATGCTTTGTAAATTGCATTCAAATTGATACTGCTTAAGAATGCATTTGAACATGTTTTGTTTCATGCCTGCAACATCAATCGGGGCACCATTGCTAGTAAAACCTAAAAGGTAAGAACTTGCAAGACAAGTTACAAAACAAAAACAAACAAACAAAAAATATCCAAAATGACATATTCCTTATAAAAATAGGGACTAGTTATGGGGCCTATTCTACATTAAACTTTAATGATCGGAACCGTTTAGTTTTCAAGTTTTCATTCATAGATCATCTTTGCAAAAACTCAATTGAATTCGAAACTATTTCCAATTTGATTGTCCTGATGAAATTTTAATGTTTTTTACAATATATTAGAATATAGTGTTCGTCAATTTCTTTGAACTGCATCAAACAATTTCGATTTGTCTAATATTTTGCAAAGATGATCTATGAAGTGCAACTTGAAAGATAGACGGTTTAGATCGTTGAAATTCGATGTAAAGTGAACCCCACAACTAGTCCCCAATTCTATCAAAAATTGGGGATCCCTTTAGATAAAAGGCATGTCCAAAAGGGTTAGGTGAAAAAGAAATTCACACATTATGAATGGCTGACAAACTTGTAGGTTGGCAAGCCCAACAAATCTAAATGCAGAAAAGGAAGAATCTATGTAGGAGGAGCAATATGCCAAACAAGTGAAGACAAGAGAAACCCTAAATTGGCTAATTTGTCAGCAATTGTATTCCATTTTCGAAATGTATGAGAAAAAACAGAAAACTATGTTCGGCAACCACAAATTACAATTTTTCCCACGAGCTTGGAGTGACCAAGGAGGAGAAATTGAACTAGAAGTAAAGCAAGATATCACACTAAAAGAGTCATTTTTAAGGCATAAATCTTAATAGTTCATTTATAAGAATATATAATCAACATGAAGCGGAGTCTTCTAGCTCTAGTGTAAAAATAAAAACCAAATTACAACCATCATTAAGAACAAGTGTGAATGTTGATCAATGCACGTAAAATAGATATTAAGACTAACATTCAGGATTGTATCCAACAGGATTAGATTAAAATTTCTATGTTATGAATTTGATGATAGAAATATAAAGGAAAGTATTTTAAAAATTTGATTTGATTTGGTTTGGTTAGATTTCCCTTTTGGGCAAAGATTTGATTTAATTTATTTCTTATTATTGCTTCGTTTGGTTCTTATAAGTATCTCTTTGTGAAGAAAAATAAAACATTCGAGTTTTGTTCCTATAAATATCTCCTTATGAAGAAAAATAAAACATTTTAGTTTGTGAAGTTATTGAAGAATTCTTATAGAAGTGTTTTCCAGAAAGAAAAGAACAAAAAAAATTTCCAAATGGCAAAGGGCATGCATGGAGGAATGTTAGAACTTTCCAAGACAGTGAAGAGAAAAATTGTCCAAAAAGGGTTGAAAAGAAATATGAAAATAAAACTGAAGAGTGAAACTGAAAAGATGCCTCCACCTCTCGCAGTCAACCTTTTTACCTACCAGAAACATCAAACGACGAAAAAATTTTAAATTTCGACTAGTTATCAAGAAAAGATAGAAAGATGTTAATTTCGACGTTGAAATCTTGTACATCGATCTTGGAATAAGTACGAAAGAGAGAGACAGGCCGCCATGAACGACTCAGGTCATGAGGTCAACCCATTCTATTTTCTCTTTGCATGCCTTTAAGTGGTGCATGCTGCATTGCAAGTATATATCAAAACCACCAGTGATGCCATCTGAATTAAAGTTTCTTTTAATTGGATTTTTTTATAACAAACCATATTCTACACTACATATTCTACACTAAAAGAAAGGAAAATGTTTGAATCTGAAACGTAGTGGGTTGAATAAGAAGATCTTAACCATTAACACAATTGACCACTTGCAATTACAATTGGTTAATGACATTATTTATTAATGTGTAATCAGAAAGAAAAAAAAAGCATCTTGAATTGAGTAGGAGTGGGATGGTAAGACTAGGATTAAAACTATATATAAGGTAGGGGGTGAAGATTTACATGAACACCTAAGTCACACAGAAAAAGTAACAGATTTCTTTACAAGAAAATATCACTTGGATTGGACTTGTCATTTTTCTTACTAGCCTTAAAAAAAAGTTGTAGTTCCACTATAAAACCAATTGACAATATGGAAAGTAGTCCAATTATTTAGGCACTCATGCAAAGTATCTTCTTTCTCTATTCACTTTCAACAAACCCACTTATAACTTTTGTCCAAGTTTGGTCATCTCTAGTGTATTGAACCCCTATAAGAAGAGGACTAGCAGCACAGCAAAGCATCTTCAATCTTCAATTTTTCCAATGCAACTGACGCATAACGCAAGGACATTAGCACTCCCAACGAGAGAAATTTAGATATTCTGTAGATTGATTATTCGAAAGTCAAAATTAAGGGTACAAGCCATCCTTATATAGCTAGGTGATGCATATAAATGCAAAATAAAGACTACATAGTTGTAATGCATGAACATGAGATAAGTGCACTAGCAGATACATAGGTATGGATTAATATGATGCATGAGCGTGACCTATTAAACATCAAAGTGCTCATCAACTCCACCTTTCATTGATACCCTAAGCAACCCAAAAAATCCAACAAAATGTTATTCTTCCTCTTTTAACGTCATATTTGATATTTGATGGAGTTTTTCTCTCATGCATCCTTTCTTGTCAATTTATAACACTTCCTTTTCTTTACTTTTTGTTCGTAGAAATTCATCTCAATCTTCTCCTACACCAGCCCTCAGTGTAGCTCGTATATGTGAAATTCCACCTGTAAGAGAACAAACACCGTTAGCCTAATTGATGAACGCCCTAAAAAAGGGGGAGGTTGTTCGCCAAAGGGCCTACAAGAAAGTTTCAACCAAATATTTTGGTTAGTCTATTGAAGATACTCTCACATATTGTGGATGAAAATTTTGTACACAACTAAAATGATGAACATCCTGAGAAGGGGCGAGGCTGTCTTCCAAACGGCCTCCAATGCCTAAGTCAAAAAAGCAATAGAGAGAACAATTGAACTTGAGAGAGTTCTGAGTAGTAAATGGTGATTACCATTTTCTTTAAATGACTTGGCTATATATAAGGAAGAAACCCTAGTAGGCAACTGGGAGGGGAGGCTATAAAACATACTAAGCAGTCTTGATGGTGCAGGTCAGTCTCCAGAATCCTGTCAGCTAGTAACCCTTAAGGTCCCTGTTGGTAAAATCGCAGGTGTGCTGGACACCCAAGGAAAGACTCCGAAGAGTAGGTGCCCTACCATC